TCCATTGTTAGTGAATGTCCTTGCACTTCATTAACCCTGTTTGGCTTTTATTTATAAATATTCAAAAAAATGGGATATTAAGACTGCAAAAAACCCAAAAAGAATCACAGTTCATTATACCTCATTTCCTTTAATGTTTTTCATCGACTTCTCAAAGATTGGAACCGCTTCAATCAACACATAAAAAATAGCCCTGTGGTTCTAAAAGTATTTGAAATTTAATTATATTCTCCAAAGAATTTTTAGCAAGCAAGGAAAGTGTAAACTCAGCTGAGTAAATCCATCTTGGGCCCATCTGGGAATATAGCCTTTACGTACTGGTTTTGTGAGTATGAAGGGTTTTATTATGAATGTATAAAAAATAAGTGGACTCCACTAAGGAAGATTTTTTTCTAAAGTAAAAGCATTAATTAATCACCTACTGCTCAGAATATAGCAAGGAGGATGTTTACTACTTCACGTTATGATTGTAAGCCCTCCTATTCACTTGAATAAACTAGTAGAAGCAGGAGTGTTTTAGAGTTAAATGTAATAGGAATCCCAGTCTTTGGTCTTTGACATTTAAACAGCTAATGAACTGCACGGTAGAACAATATGAATAACAGTGTTCAATAAGGTCATTCATTACTTTATGACTGTTTTAAAAGAATAAAAATACAATTTAACTTTGTTATAACAATGCTTTGCGATATTCAGTACTATAATATACAAGAGTACGTAGAGAAAATAATTTCTCCAGGTATCTTTGACCAAAGCTACTGGAAGAATAAGATGACAGTACCTCACTAACATGAAACTCAAATGTGAATTTTGCTTCATGGCTGTATAGAGAATCTGGCCATTAAGTACCTTCAACTACAATATTTAGTATTTTGATACTGATATGATCTGCTACAACATTTAGTCACTTAAATGCATTAAACACTCTCAAGCCCTCTACTTATTGCTGCCTCATACAGAGATATTATTTTAGCAATGGCATAATTTATTAGGAGTTTTATTGTGTCAAGTGACAACTTTATAAAATGAGGCACTATCCAATTGAGTATTTCAGATGCTAGAATACAAAGGAATTTTGAATGGCATAACATATTACAAAAAATTCAGCCATTGACCTTTGTAATCAAATTACCTTTTCTTTAAAAAAAACAATGCTTTTTCATTTGATGGAATAAATAATAATAGAATGATCAACAGAGTATTAATATTTAGTCAATATTTCTCTTAATTTCTTAAGTTGTCATTTTTAATAATATCCAGATATATTCTTTTCCTTTTTACTGCCAACCAAATTACTGAAGCCTGCCAACAAAGTATTATTTTCTAAAAGGGACAACGATGTTCAAATGGAAAGAGCCAGAAAGGGAGTACAGAAAAAGGAGTAGGGGGTGGGAGGCTGGAAAAATTGGCATTCCAACATTTATAGGCAACATGTTAAGATATAGAAGGAGATTAATAATGGTAGTTCAGACTGGGCTACCGAACCCAAGACTGCTGAATCTTAAGTGAACCAGTGAAATTTAGAAATGAAAGTAACCAAAAAATCTTCTAGTTTGATATATACCTCTCAGAGATAGGTAAGCTCTGACCAAGAAAATTAATGATATTTCTTTGGGTCACATGAGTAGGTAGGGGTGGCAGTAGCTTAGGACTTCCGGCTCAATTTTCAGAGATTTGGGCTAGAAAAGTCTGAGATTTTGTGGTTAATATAAAATCTAAAGCATTTTCTGGTTAATGTAAAATTTGAAGCATTATCTTAAATCCTTTGTTATATAATTTTATACCAGATTATAAAGCTTATGGTTCATAATAAAACAAGGAAATAAATAGGACAAAGAAGTACAGGGTAGAAATTTTAGAGACATTGAGGGGAAAAAATGAAATTTGAAAGTATAAATTTTTTAGAAGTATCTTACTGAAATATTCGGAATGAATACAGTATTTGCCATCTTTGCTTCTCTCCTTTTAACCCTATAAACTGAACTCAAATGCATCTCAGTTTATTCATTCCCACCTAAGGACTTAAATACTAAGAATAGTTAATTCTCTTCCATCCACCTATCTTGCCTGCCTGCATTTTTCCCTTCCCCATGCCTGCCTTCTCCAGCTAAAATGAATGCAAAATGTTCATGTACTACACTTAAAGAATCATTTTTTTCTGAGTTTGATTTAGGAAATATGACATTTGCATCTACATAAACTGCATTATACTTATGTATGTTGTGATGTAAAAATGGCACTGTTAAAGCAGATAATGAGTCTGCTTGGGCAGACTGCAATGAAGGGACCGCTGTGTTAAGAAAGAATCTAAACTTTTATGAGAAATTTAAAGACTTTTAGGAGCAATCTTCTATGTCTTCGATAGAAGCTTGACCTCCAAGGCTATACTTAGATGCTAAGGAATCTAAAGCAGCCAGTCAAGTAATTTAAACCAACTATTCAGTGTTGGATAGGAAAGCCATCTGTATCACAATTTTTTTTTTTACTAAATTCAACAGCTATTTTTACATCATTTAGACACACTCTCAGTCTCTTAACATATATTCCTTTTTAATTGTTTCTAAGACATTTTGGAATACATTTGAATTCAAAATTTGACAGCCCTCACTAGACTTGGTTCTTACACATCTTTGTCTCCTCATTCTTTGCATCTTTTCTCCTCTTACGCCACATAATTTAAACCTTCAGTGGCCCCTTCCACCTCTTATGATATTTGCTTTTGGAATTAGAACATGTTAGAGCTGAAAGGGGTCTCAAGAGACATTCGGTTCAATAGTTCTGTTGCAAAGTAGAGTAAACTGAAGCTTGGAGATATTCCCAGACTGCCTAAATCAGCTCACTGATTAGTAGAAGACAGAGCTGAGATTAGAAACACAGCTAATCACTAATCAAAAAAAAAAAGTTCCCATTTGATTAAGAAACTTTCTAATGCTTTAAATTTAGAGATGTTTTGAATTTTAATTATGATTCAAATTAATGTTTCCCTAAATCGTCCATCCACAAGAGCAATTAGCATCCATAATTTCTCAAAATTTCTTGTGCTGTACCTTCTATTAGTATTTTGCAAAAAACAGTGCAAGAATTTCTCAGGTTAAATTCTAACGTTTTAACTTAAATAAATTGAACTCTTGTGTTATGATATGATTTTTAAGCAATTGCATATCTTAGTTTTTACTCCAATGTTGAGTCAAAGTTTTATATAATAAGTCCAAACACAAGTCAAGTTCTATATTAAAAGTAATAAAACTGCACTAGCTTTCTGACTCTTCTGCTAAGTATAGAATGCATTTAATGATATGGGGCTTTTTCAGTTATTTGATATGATGGATTATCCAAACAAAATAATTCTGGCCAAACGGTTCACTCCGTTGCTGACATCACCCAATTTTCCTGCTTCCACTACCCAAATAGCTTGAACAGGTTCCAATCTCTCACTTCACTCTGTGCGGTAGAGGCCTGAACTCCAAAGTGTCCATAGTAACAGACCCCAGAATGGAGCTTCCAGGCACCTGTAACAGTGACTGCCGGAGGGCCGGGCACAGTTGACTAACATGTGAAAATTAAGGACTTACCTTATGGTAATCAAGTCATTTCCCCATAATAGAACATGTTTAATACAACTTTACATTCTTGGCTTCTGTAAATTTAAAAAAAAAAAATTTTTTTTTTGAGTTAAGGAGTGCTGTGATAAACATGTCTATAGTATTCTGGATTATTTATTAGAAGTTAATTTGTAAAAATAAGCAGTGGAGAATGGAAAGAACTGTGATTTCTGGTAGTAGGGTAGCTTAACAGCCTGAGAGAAGGAACTAAATACTAAGAGTTGAAAGAAAGCAAATTCCTTAAAATATGAATCTAATGGAGTGAACACATTTTCAACATTTGTTAACATTTGTATTTTTTTTTACTTTGAGCAGGAATTTTGAATTTAATTTCTACTGTCCCTAAAGTTTAATCCCCAATAAGAATACACTGATATAATTCTGAAGATGATATTCCAGTGGAAAGTGAATCCATTCTCAGCATTAATGCGTCACACTAGTACTTATTTATTGAGAGGATGCTTGAATTTTAGCAGTCAGAGTCAAGTATAAAGTGAATGAAGCAAACCAATATTGTACTGTTAGAACCTAGGAGTAACAAATAGCATGTGGATTCCACACCACCTGTATTCCCCTCTTAATCCTATCTTATGTTGCAATAAATCAGATGTTTTGTTAAAAGTAAATATGACACATGCAATAGCCAAGTAACTACTACATAAGGCCATTCAGATCCGACAAATGACAGTGTAATGGCATTTTGTTAATTCTGTAAAGATTATATTGCTGAGTGCTTTCAAAATTTCCTAATGTACAAAATTCTAGACTTAGTAGACAAAGAGTAACAACACATGGATTTTAAAGAAACAAATAAAATTCAGAGTGGGAATCTATCTTGTTTTGCTTTGTTTTGTTAAAAATCATGTATTGAGTTTAAATTTTTAGTAAAGCAAGCATTACATAATGCTTTAAGATTTTAAAATTCGGGGGAAAAAAACGTTTACATCCAAAAAGATGAGTGGAAAATTGTGCTTTCGGACTGTAGTATTAGTTTTCTTACAGGGTTAATTAAGCATTTCATCTTGCCATTGGATACTGGGAATATCATCTACGCAATGGATATATGTGCAGTTCATATCCAGGTCCTGCAAAAATCTAAAACTGTGTGCTTCACTTCATGTAGCAAAGGCACCTATGTTATTCTCCCTTTTGAGCGAAAGTTCTGATCCAGTTCTCCTGCTGAAGGTGAGACGCTGTTCCGACACCCACACTCTCCGTGTTGAGCAGTACAGTATAATCACAAGAGAAGGTGGAGGCAAATCCCTGCTTACGCTGGAAGAAGTCGCTCTGTGGACCATCTGAAGAAGCTCTGGACTGATCACAAGGGAAACCGAGCAGAACTGTGAAGCAGACAGACAGGAACAAAGGCTATTGTGGTGTGAGGAGGAATCAGTCCCTTCAGCTCCACAAGCAGATGTTGCTACTGGACTGACAGGTGGAACCCACCCCTGCTGGAGAAAGGTAGAGTTTGCCGTTGGGGCACACACACAACTCGTACACCGTCTGTCGGGCATTTGAAGAGCTGGGTGAAGATGAGAAAGAGCCAGTCGGCAGATTTCCCAGCCGAATTGTGTCCGCGTTCAAAAATATCTAGGGGGAAAAGTTGCATTTTAATTCGTTTTAGCCTTCTCCATTCCTCAGAGCTTTACAACATGGCCTAATAAGAAAGACTACACAACAAATAATTCTATTGGTTTAGCTGCCATGCTTTGTTGAACAAACAAATTACACTCCTACGGTACAGCCCAAAAGCTCTACAGCTATCTTCTCCTTTGAGACATGGTGAATTCTGATGGAAAGTCCTTGATCTGAAAAAGCAATATTGTACAATCTGCTCGAGAAGCCAACCCAGTTATTCAAATACCACAGGAAATTCATGATTTTGGCAGAGTATCTCATTGTAACTTCTTAATTATGCCTAGTTTAAAGAATATACAAGGAACTTCCAAGTTTCTATAATCATGGACCCCCAAATGAAGCTTCCGCATACCTGTAATAGTGTGCTTTGTGGGGAGGGGAGGAACTTCATGGGTATGACATTACTGGGTGGGAAATTAATAAAAAAATGACTCTAGCCTAGTTTTAAAAAACACAAAACATTGACAGACTGTCTAAAAGGTGTACTGAGTAGGTAATTTGCAGGATTAACAACAGATAGTTGATATAATCAGATTCGAGGTCTCCATGAAACATATTACTTGTACTCAACACCCACTTTGTTGTATCTTCTAACTTGCAAGATTACTTCACTTATTCCAAATCATGGCCTTAACACTGTTAGGGACAGGGATCACATGGTTTTGACATGCATGGGGAAAGATCCAAAAAAGACAAAGTGGATCGGGAACTTGAATGAGAAAACAGAAACAAAAACAAAAAATCAACTACAAACACAAAAACAAAAACCTCTCTCTAGTCTTTTGTTTATTATATTGTTATGTAGTAAATTACTGTACAAAGACATCTTTAAATTGACAGGAGAATCAGAGAATACGCCGTTTTCTACATATTCGTCCTCATCCAAGTTTTATTCATTTCTTACTAGGACTCTTGAAATAGTTGCCTAACTGGCCCACCCAGCTGCCTTTGTTATTCTCCTATAGTCTATTTTACATATCACTAGAGTAAACTTTTAAGATATGCAAATCAAATCACATCACCCCAGTGCTCAAAATTCCCCACATTTAACATTAGTCTCAATTCCTTTCCATGACCGACAAGTCCTACATGGCCTGGCCTGTTTCTCTAACACCGTTACCTATAATTTTTCTCGCTCTAGCTCTTACATTTCCTCAAATATCCCAAAAGAACGCTCACCTCAGGGTGTTTTTAGTCCCTATTTCTTTAGCTTGAAACATTTCCCTGCAGATGTGTGTATATATATGATTGGGGTAGATAGTAACCAGGTGGCCAGAGAATAGGACCGGAGGGAGATTTCCAGTGTTAGCCTCTTTCATACTTTTAAAATTTTGAAACACAATAACTAATTGCCCGTGCAAATGAGCCAGAAAAAGGATTCATAGACTATGGTCATGCATAATTTAGATTAATCTGGATACGAGCATGTTTGTTTGAGTGTTTGCTATATGGTCACCTTCTCAAAAAAGGACTTCCCTGCTCCTCCTACTAAAATAACACTAATCTATTCATTAATTTCTCCTTGACAGTTTCACTTTTCTTTATAGTAAACATCCCTTCCTAACATTTATTGTATTTGTTCATTTACTGTGCTTCTCTTACATAAAAGTAAAATCTACGAGGGCAGAATCTGCCTTTGGTTCATGGTTACAGGACAGTTCACAGAACTGTGGCAGTACATGCTGTGTGAGATAATGCTCCCCCTTCCTCTTGGACATGTCCCTCTGCTCTGGGTACAAATGTCACCCTCCACCCATGTCCTCTCATCAGCTTTATCTCCATAGCCTTTCCCTGACACTCCACGAGAGAAAGACTTTATTTGGTTCTCCTGTAGCACTTTATTGTTACTAATCTTATATACTATTTTATAGTTATATATATCTTATTTTTCATTGAAGGTACAATCACAACTAAAAAGTTTTACACCTCCACAGTGTTTGACCCTGCACACACAGTGTCTACTTAAGACAAATAGTTGTTGAACAAATGAATAGATTATAAAATAAATGGATAATTACCTTGACCGACAGTATTCAAAGTTAAGAATGCATCTTTATTCTTGGGTTAAGTGAGAGGAAAGTAAAGAGAAAAAAAGGCCTTCTAATTATTTTAAGAAGATTTGTTTTTTACTGACTTAAAAGTTAGAAATGCACAAAACCAGCAAAAGAAAATAATACATTTTTGGGCACAGATGTTGGGCCTCATTTCTTTCGACTCTGTTCCCATGGTGAGGGACATCAGTGACTGTCACTCACTGTTACACACTCCAGGTTCTTCCGTGCATTTCTCTATGGTGGGGGGTGGGGGCAGGGATGTCTCCTCTCACTGAGTCTGAGGGTTTGAGTTTGAGAGAGAAACTGGCCTTGCAGAGTTCACGCCCCTTTCTTCACTTCTCTGTAGGAGCTGGCATGCTTGCAGAGCAGACACTCTCATGTTCCAGAATCACTACACGGGCCAGGTCTGGGATTGTGGGGTTTAGGTCTGCATACTTAGAGGTGAGTTCCTTGAAGAAGTGTTAGGTGCTGGTGTTTTGCCCCAGAGACCTCGAAGCACAGATGAGTAACAGTGGGGTGTGGAAAGCAAAACAACATGTGGATAAGGAGGCTTGTGTGGGGTTGACCAAATGACTACAAGATACTGAAGATACCGTGAATGGTTCACTATTAGTAAGCACGGAAATAAATGTTGCTGGTTAGCCCTGGTGGTTTTTGGAGGCTTGCTGATGCCAGCCTGAACCACTGGGTTTTATGGTTTGGGACTATTTGCCTTTCCATTGGTGTGGTCTGAGGGAATAAATGTAGAGAGTAGAGGTTTTGACACAGGTAGGGCAAGCAGGTGACAGCCTTGGAAAGCAAGCACAGATGTAGAGACCTCATCAATGGGCATTAGCCTTGAACCTTATGCTATGTGGCCCACTAGAGCTTAGCTAGAGCACTGCCCACAGGCTCTCCCATCCATTTAGGGGCGCTTTAACAATATTGAGCTCTGACAACACTTAATTCCATCAACTTCTGATACTGAAACTGTAGCCTCAACCACATAAGGGAGGTAGATTATATTAATGGATAAATTAAAATGAACAGGGACATTAAAAAGAGAAGATATTTTCTTGGCTTGATACAGAAAATGTGACGAGGCAAAAAGGACTGATACATATTGATTCTTTCCAACCCAACATTGCTCAGCTTCTCCAGGCTCCTGCAGAGTGGACGGGCTTGCTCACAGCTCTGTCTGCGGAAGCAGTTACTATAATACTGTTTACTTTCCAGCTTCCAAAATTGATATTTCTATTCTATATTGTCCTACAAGCCATATAATCCACTTGTTTTGAAACTCTTCCTAGTATTCAAAATTACACCTCTGAGGTTTTAACTCATGGCCCATTGTCCTCTTGTCACTAAGAATTCATACATCCCATTCTTGCCAGTTAAATTAGACCTGTCACTATAAGAAAAAATCTTAATCGCTTTGCAAAATAAAAATTGTTTTCTTTTTCCTCTGTGACCTTGCATATGCTATTACATTATTGCTTTGCATATGCTATAGTAACACTTTCAGTTTTCTTAAAATTATGATTCTGTGGTTTTCAGACCTGAATTTGAAATTCCTTGCAACATTATGTCAAAAATAACTGAATCTTCTGCAGTGGGGAATTTTGTGTGCAATTTCATTCTCACACATTTTGTTCATTATTTCGGTTACCACAATGCTATGCCTGTTCTGATTTTAACTAGTTTAAAATGCATCTAAAGGTAAATTTGACAGCTTTCTGTATTGTTTAGTAAATGATCAATCTGCCTTTCTGTGGCATACCATGAAACACAGAGAAAGATTTTATATCATTTCATATTTCTTCATTGGAAAATTACACGTTGTTTATGCTAATATAAAATGTGGTACTTTTCTATATATTTGTTTTATTAGCATAAAAAGGACCATAGCTGAAAACCTCTGGATATGATTTATTTATAGCATAATCCTCCGTTCACAATTAAATGACAACCTCTAATTGAATCCGAGGGATCTGCTGATACTTTGAATAAAAGAACATCAGCAAAGTGGTGTACAAGTAGGAGCAGAACAGAGATTAATAAGCACCAATATTTATTATGGGATAATTCACTATGAATAATTTGAATGAACTCATTAGCATGATAAAAGCAACTCATTAAAAAGGATGTGAAATATTTAGAAAGGATTTTGTCTTGCTGTGGAAGGCAAATTATTATATGTAGTCTGTAACAGTAGTGGAAAGAAACCCTAAAAGGTAATATGGATGTATGTTTTAAATATTCTAAAGCAAATTTATCGATCATTTATGTTTTAATATCCAATAAGATGCTAATGTGGTCCTGAACATGACTTTGTTTATAAAAATGATCAAAGTATATAATTAAAATTTATCATGAATCAACAACTGAGATAATGGCAAAAAAGTAAAAAGAAAGTCTCCTTTTGATTGTATTAGTTTATGTTCTCATTTTACATCTGAAGAGTAATAAAATGCTCCAGAATATCTCTTAAACTAGCCTTCCATTCTTTTTTCCTGAATTTAAACTTTGTAAGCCCCTAATAAAAAATAAATAAGCACATAAGGGAAGAAAATACTGAAGGAATTAATTGGCACAAACAGCAAAACATCACGTTAGAACTTCAAGGACTTTGAGAATTAAAATAAAAGTATACAGAATAGAATATGCATTATGTATAAGGCTTTGAAATAATTAAGGTAGAATTAAAAACAAATGAGCCAAAAAATAAAAAAGAACAATTGCCAAGATGACCAGGCAGATTTGAAAAAGCAACAGAGGAGAATCCTAGAAATGAACAACATAATTACCCAAACTAAAAGCTCAATGTAGGTGTTAAATATGAAATTAAATACTGAAGAGGACTCTGGGCATGTAGATCAGGATAAGTAAGCAGAGTGAGGCACAGGGAGACAAAGAAGTAGAGAGTAAGGAGAAGTGAAGGGGTCTGGAGGGCCAGTGAATGGTATAGCGTTTATAGAGAGTTCTAGGTAAAGGTCACAGACAAAGTGCGGGGAGGAAATATGTGAAGACATCTACTAAGTAACGTTCAGAATGGACAAAAATGTGACTCTACAGACAGAACAATCACAATATATACAGCAAGAAAAGGAAATGAAAGAAATGTGTATCTATTGCATTAGCATGCAAGAGAGGACGACCAGAGACAAAAGATTCTTGATTTTTAAAGGAATGACAACAGACTTAAAGGAGATTCTTGTGGGGAAATAAAGTAAATGGAAGAAAACTCTTATCCAGGAAATAACAATAGGGCTAAAGAGTAACAGAACCTTTTGTTTCTTTTAAAAATATAGGCTCTGTTTTTGTGGAAACAAACATCCAAGGTAATTTTTGGAAGAATGGTTTGAAGAATAATATAGAATTTTGAAAAAACAAAGATTAATTTATTCTTGATATTATCTTGCTAGTTATTAAACTGTCCCACCCCTCAGTGAATATATTTCAGTAGAAAATAAACAGAGCTTTGACTTAAGTAAATAACATTAGGCTTACTAATTTTCACATTCAGGAAGAAATAGTAATACGTTCCTTCACATTTAAGCTCTCTTAGGAAGCAGTTCTCCATGTCTCACCTGGAACCACGTGCATGTACTTTGACCGGAAGGATTCTTACCGTCTGCCCTGGGAACTCACCTCCCCCTCTGTGGACTGCAGGTGGAGCTCCTTCCTGCAGGTGGCCTTGAAGTCTCCTGCAGCAGCTCGCACCTGGACCCCTCGAGGAGCTTCCATGATCAAGGACCTGGTTGGTGACTCCAGCCTAAAAGAAAAACAAACCAATCCATAACAGTAAAAATAAAAATAAATTACAATGAACGAACAGATCAAATCAGTCAGCTAAAAACAAAGAAGCAGGTGGGAATAAATAAAAATCCTTGCCATTTAAAAAAAAAGAGGGGGAACCAAAATGATGTTTAAAATTACTTTTGATTATTTATTTTTTGGCTCTTTATATGAAACTATTTGTTGGCAACAATTGTTAACTCTTATTTATATAATGATTCACCAAGTTTTTTTATGTTGTTTCCCTTCACAACGCACATGAAAAGTAGGTCATCATAAGTTTACTTGTTTAAAGCTTTTATACATTTTCATAGTAATGGTGGAGTTTTAAGAAAATAAGTTTCCAGATGGAGCATGTACATAAGCATCAATAATGAGCCCCTATCTCGTGAAGACGAGAGAGCTTCAATGAAAATCATGAAATCTGTGAACTGCCGAGCAGGCACGGTAAAAATTCTGTCAGCTTGAAAATCTTCAAAGTACTCTTCAAGCTTCTAGAAATTAATTACAGAAAGAAGATGTTTCCTCCATCAACTGACTTCTACTGTGTGAGGAAAATGTCCACAGAATAAATGACATTAGTCAGAAGAAGAAAAATTAAACGAAAGCTGATTCACCAGTACAAGTGTGATGAAAGGTTAACTACATACATTTTGAGAAAAAAAGTGTTGAAGACAGTTGTGTTTGCAAAAAAAATAGGTAGCTGGGAGACAGTTCCGAAGGATCTTCAAATATAAAACTTGAGAGTAGAAGCAAAGAAAGCAGAACAAAGACAACATAATACCGCAGTAAAAAACACTAGTGTGAGAAGAAGTTTTATCCCTGAATTGGTCTTTATGGGTAAGTGCTCTGCCCTGGGGCTGCAGCTTCCAGGCTCCCCTCCACCACAGGAATTCAGGACAGGAGTCCCCTCAGGGTCACACTCACCACCACTCAGAGGCATTAGACCCAAAGTTGCTTTGCAGAGAGAACCACATTAAACCGTTTGATCAGCTTTGCCAGTAATGATGTGGAAGGTGATATGGAAGGACTTGAGCCAGCATTTAGGAAAACAGTGATTTGGGCACGTTCAAATCACTCACCCGCCCCCCCCCCCGTCCCCCCCCCCCTCACAAAACCAGTTTTGAAACTTTCGTCTCTATGTGCCTCTGGGACATCTTCATAAAACCCCTGGTGGGAGCGAGGCCATGTAAGTTTTTGAATATAAATATTTTAAAGAAAACTCTGTATTTTGTTGTTTTTAAAACAAAAAACACACATTTTTGCAGACTATTTGAAAGCTTAAAAAAACTCATAATTTTTTCATTCATAATTCTTATACTTTGACACAGTATCAAATTTTAAAATCTGAACATTAAATTGTATATTTGTAATTAATTGCCCCAGCCAGACCTCCAAATCCGTACCACCTTGAATAGTGTATTTCTGACCACTACTATTTCCATTTGTTCATTATCCATAAAACAAAATGTAATTCTTTAAGTTTGGATATGATTGAGCCATAAAAATTGATGTCAGTTAAAACTTAATTAAAATGGATTAAAGTCCTACAACAAATTATGAATCTGACATTCATGGAAATGCAACTCAGTGATATTGTAAGTGGAGGAAAAGCGCAGTTACTTTATCAAATGATTGATACAAGTTATTTTGTTTCTGAGAATAAGGGGTTGCAGTGATTACTCATGTATTTAATAGTAAAATATCCATATTAAATGTGCACATTTTTTGTACCATATTTCTACCATGTTTTACATTTGGGATCAGAGAATTAAAATATATAAAGGATTTCAGAGCCCTTGAGTTTTCTCATTCTCATCTTTATAAATTATTTAATTAGAAAGTTTTCATCACATTCAGGTGTCTGTCGGCACTGTGGCCACACAGTACAGCACGTTGCCAACTGACTTAGAGGATTCTTCCCCAAAGAGGCGGTAAAGGCAGGGAGCTGGCTTGACCTGGGCTCAGGGAAATTAGCAGCAATAAGCCTCGGTTTTATCATTTCTACATCGACAATTTTAATGTTTTCTTATAGGATTTGTAAGAAATGTTTTTAAAGAATTAGGGAAATAAGTATGTGGTGGAATGGTATTTTGAAACATTAATGGCGTTTTCTGTCCTGTCCCATTCCTCTGCCGACTTCCCTGCTTCCCATTCACTACACTCTGTCCTTTGCCACTAGTTCCCTTTTACCAGCAGAGCTGATAAAGAAAGGTCTTTTGAGTTTAACTCTACAGACATTGTGAGTTAAAAAAAAAAAACGCTAGCCATTTAGTGTTGAAAATGAGTCAGCATATAAACAGAAATGTCAGAAGAAAACTATAAAGAGTATTATTAATGGCATGGAGGGATGCTTTCTAAAAAAATATTTTATTTATTTATTTTTAGAGGCAGGAGAAGGAAGGGAGAGATGGAGAGAGAGAGACATTGATGTGTGAGAGAGAAACATCATCGGTTGCCTTTTTTTAGATGCCCTGAACTGGGAATCGAACTGCACCCAGGCCTGTGCCCTGACCGGGAATAGAACTGGCAACCTTTCGCTTTGTGGGACGATGCCCAACCAACTGAGCCACACTGGTCAGGACAAGGGATACATTAAAGTATATAATTTATGTTGCTAAATTATCATATTAATATAAATATTATATTATTTAATGTCTATATTTTACAATCATTTCAGGGAGAAGGAAATATGAAAAATACATCTGATATTCTTCACCTCAAAATTTAAAAATTTGAGACATTCTTGGATAAAAATAAACTTATACATACATCATGTCATGAAACTTCCCATATTTCAGAAAGTAATAAAAATGTGTATGAAACCCCAGTAAGAATCTCAGTGGAATCTCTTGAAAGTTAAAACACTATGTCAAAATATTTGGGGACAAAATATATGTATGGCAATTAACAGATTTAAAAAATAAAGGTAAAGTGGGAGATTTTTCTTTTAAAATTAGAACTTAATAAAGTAATTTTAATTAAAATGATACTAAAATTAGAAATTAAAATTGGGTTGATGGAACAAAATAGACTCTAAAACAAAGCATTTGAAGTAGTCTGACAAATGCAGATATCATTTGGATTGGGAACTATCAGGTTATTTAGTAAATGTTAATAAATGATGCTTAATAAATTGCCTAGCCATACTGAAGAAAATACCATTAGATTCTTAACAAACTTTGCAGGAATAACTTCATTTCATCTATTCAAAATATAAAAATTAATAAAGAAATCACAGACTCTAATATTCAATGGAAAATTCAAAGAAAATTCAGAACATAGTTTCCCATTTTATTTATTCAAAGTATAAAATTCTAAAATATAGAAGTGCCCATTTTGAAAGCATTAAATTCATAGCAATGAATTTCAGACTCCTTTTCATAACGAGTACCCAGAGTGGGGTTAATGTTGAATTCATATCACCCTGCCTGTTTTTTTCCAAGTGATCCTGCTTTTATGGTGTTTACATAGCAAAGAGGCAATAAGATTTTGTTTTGATGGTGCTGTGCTATTCTCAGATTTGAAACTGAGAGGCATAGGTCTTAGCAGAATTCTCAACATTCTAAGAAAAGAATTCACTCTTCTTTTAAAGTAAGTCTCGAGATGCAGTTACTGAATAGAAACTTAAATAGAACCTAAGCATCATATAACATGTTCTTGGTAAATTCTCTACACAGTGCCAGAGAAATAGCAGGCACTCATGAGTTATTTGAGGTTTCAATGATGGCATGAATGGAGAATTGGACAGAAAAGTGAGTTAAGACAAAAAAAAGATTCAATGCAAACTGACTTGAACATATAAAAAAGTACACTGTCATCACCTGAGGATACAATGAGCTTTTTATAGATGCAAATGGCATTGGTTTTGTTTCCTCATTTTTATTGTTTTCTGCTCACTAGCGCAGGTCATCATGCCCTCTTCCTTCACATTAGAGCAAACAAATCTAGATCCGTTGTTTTTCTGTGTTTCCCAGTGTGCAAGATAAAACCAGCTTTTCAAAATGCTCATTGAATACTAACTCTAGATAAATATATAAAAACATACATAGAATGAAAGAATAAAAGGTAAGGAAGAAGAAGGTAAGAAGAAGAAAGGAGGAGGGGAAAAAGGGAAAAGAGGGGGAGGGAAAGAGAAGGGAGGAGAGGAGAAAAATTCTATTTTATTATTATTATTATTTTTTCACAGGTAGAAAAATACCAGCAAAGTATTTTACCCTTTGATTGACAAAATGTCTCAGGGAAAAATTCTTAACTACTTAATAAATGGTAGCTTTTCCTTGAATGCAGAAATGACGTGAAATTAACACGGTGTTTCCAGAGAGTAATTTGGAGCTTGCAAACCTCAACATTTCAGTTTTAAATTATATTTATACAGGAATGGAAATGATGAAAAGATGCCAATTACACCATGAAATATTAACTCATTTACTAATTCCAAGTCAGCATTTTTGCCTTATTCTTGGAACAGTTCATGGCACTTAGATTCACACAGCCTTTGGGCAATGGGCATTAAATAATGGATTTCATCACTTCTCAGCATGGAGTGCAGAGACTCTATTGAACTGTAATAACTTACGTATGAATTAACTTAAGAAATAAAAAAGGAAGAACATTCATATATGAGTTATTTCAAGCAAATATGCCACTATCTCCTTCTTGACCATTCAGTATTCATTTTTTAGCTTTTTGAAATGCAGAGGTTCCTCTGGAAAAACAATGTCATCTTATATTTAAAAACAATTTAAAAATCTACATGTTTAGGTTTAAATGAACATGGAAACTAGTACAGAACTTTGTACATAATAAGTACTCATCAAACATCTGTTGAATAAATAAATTGAAGAAATCTACTACATTTCCACACCAAACTATTACCTATATTCTACAGCAAACTTTTGGAATGTTCCTTTCTAAAGCCTTTTATTTTTGACAAAATCAAAACCGAAGGCAGTGAGGCTACTTACTCTTCAAATTTCTATTTTATTTACTTGGCCAACCATTTCACCTTGTTGATTAGAATCAGGTATCAGCTAAGAGTACTACTTACTGCCCTGAAAGGAAAATTGTCAGCAAAACTTGTAAAAATCTCAGACACTCTGATTTCAATCTTCAGTACACAAATGAATAATTGAATAAGCCCATCATGACTGTGCTGTGCTTCTGTTTCAGTTTTGGAATTCAGATCCGTAACACACACCTGGGGGTTGTAAACCTGCATTCAGCAGCAGCAGAGAAGCCTAGCTTAGCTCAATGTTTAAATAATTGATGAATAATTAGAAAATTAAAAACTAGAAATACTACATACTATCTATAATTTAACCCACATTCACACTTACAAATTTTGATTCATGACAGGAAGGTAATTAAAATAGCAGTTGGTTCTTATTCTACTTTTGCAAATACACTTTTCCTATGGAAAAACAAAAGATGAGTGCATAATTACTAACATGCTAGGAGTAAAAATGTTTCCTTTACATGCATAAAGGACACGTGGACAAAACCAAAGGGGGGTAGAATCAAGGGTGGGAAGTAGGGATGGCTGGGGTGGGGAGAGTGATGGGGGGAAATGGAGAAACTGTACTTGAACAGCAATAAAAAATGTGCAAAAAATAAAATAAAATGCAATGGATGGAAAAATGTTTCCTTTTGATCTTAATAATTTAACTTTTTATTGCGTGAATCACTAACCTCTGATATCTGTATTAAAACACAGGTCAAAAACTATTAGCATCAGTGTTGGTCACACATGTCTTAACAATATGAAAACAAGTGGGGCCATGTTTCCTACATGCATTTAGCTGTGTCCTCATGATGCAGTTTTTCTACATTTCAGTAATCCAAGTTAACAAATACTGATCCAACACTCCTGCACGTGAGGTGCAGTGCTGGCTGCTACAGCTCTAAAGAGGAGCAAGGGAGAAGTAGATCCCATTCTAAGCGAGCAGACAGCTTCCTTAGGTGGAGAGTTGTGAAAGTAATAATTACACAAAAAATGGGACAAAATCAATAATTACACAAAATGTTAAATTCCTGAGAGAGTCATAAAACAAGACTATAACATACTATGAGATACTATTTACACATAATTTTCAACCTTTTTAAATCCTTGGGGTTTTGCCTAGAGTAAATAATGATGTTTATCTTATAAAAAAATACCTTGATCACAAGAAGAAAGGTGCCTTCTGTTTATTGTTAACTAGCTTGTGTGAATCTGGTTATTCTACTAGTTAGAAACAGATTTTTAAAGGAAATTTTATCATAAACTAGAAAGAACTGCAAATTTTACACTTTTAAAAGTGTGACTTTCTTTGGTGTTAAAATTTTTCATCTTTATTTTTTTATTTTCCTTTGAGTAGTTTTTCCCACTATCAAAATGGGAAGGGCTAAACTTGCTATTTATGAAATAAAATGTTTTTTTTGGCTTACTATTTTCACTGTAGTTTCCAGTACAAAGACCCTCTCAGGTTGATACTATGATTCTGCTTTAAATATGATTTTAATATTTGATTTATTTATTCAATATCAATACTATTGTCTTTTGAATGTATCGAATGCATTTTAGAATGTAATTTACCTATCCAAAACTAATTACATAAAACATATTTTTCTCATATATAACATTATATTAGCTTGAGGTGAATAATATGATACATACACACACACACAGAGTAAAGTGATCACCACAATAAATTATATAAAATATCTTTTACTCCCAAAGCTTAAATTATTTATTTTTAGAATAAGAACACACATTTTCTTGTCCATCTAATACTTGACTATCTACCATGTAGCAGAAAATGTCAATTTATACAGGCCTGAAGCATTTTCTCTCTTTTCATTCCTTACACATCAAAGATGATCAACAGTCGCGAGAACACTGATACAGGCAGGTGTAAGAGCCAGGACTTACCTGAGGTCCTGGGAAGGTTCTGCTCTGATGTGAGGCGTCTCCACAGAGTGCCCGAACACTGCTCCTTCAGTGCCTGCGGGCAACATGAGCCCCGTGTCAATATAAGCGAGTGGACAGGTACATTGATATTCATTTCTATTTTTATGGGGCAAATATACTTCCAAAAATGGGACAACTGAAAACAGGAATACAGAAAATAAGGGAAAAACTGAAAAAAGAATTCAAAGTCAAGGGCCAAGGAGGTCAAATCTCAATGTCACTCTGGGACTACTTTTAAGATGATGTTATTTATAAGAGTTCAGACTGAGTCAGAATGTTTAACTTTTTTACCAAAGAACAAGACCCATCTCCTTCCTCTTTTTTATTTCCTTAGTGAGTGAATCTGAGGGACAAATAGGTCACAATACACAGTTCTGTGTCTCTGCAGATAGCAGAGCATGAATGAAAATGGGAAGAGCGAGCTGCAGCGTAGCATCGGTCTTACTGGGCATCCGCTACTTCTCCCACAGAGAGCTCCCACCTTTGATGGGAGTGGTTACTGAGCCACAGAAACCTGGGCATCTTCCTTTGACCTCACTGGAAGGAAGGCTCTCTCTGAGCCCATGACCTGCTTGGCTTCGTTGCACTAGAATGGACTTCACATGGAGCTCACAGTCATCCAAGAGGCCGGCCCTCCAACACCTTCCTCAGGCGAGTGAAGCTTCCTTTTGATTTTCCAGGTTCCCAGAGCTTTTGCATAATTTAACTGAGCAAAATAAAATGACCTTCCTTCTCAAAAATGAAATGCAAAACAATTTTTAAAGAAGATGATGAAAACAAAACTTCTCCTTATTTATTTTTTTTGTAATTTCACATAAATGTTTCAGATCATTTCTTTCAGAATAAACTTTATTTTCTTGTGGTTTAATCTTCCCCAGATATCTTGGTGTAAGAATGTTATACCTGCTCCCTCAGTGGTCTCAATGCCAGCAACTGAAAAGTACAAATTTTAAACATACCAAATAGAGCTGCTTCTGCTTATTGTAAAGAACAATTTAAATACATTGATCAATAAGCAAAGAAGAAACTGCAAAAACTATTTATTTAAGTAGTTTTTTCTTTTGATATTTTTAAGAGATTTATTTCTGTGTGAAAAATTCTTAGAAATAGGTCTTTGATAGTAAAGTGACAGTTTTATATAAAATTTTAATTTTATGATTGTGATGGGGTGGCATTTGAAATGACCTTCCAAGATATGAATTTTCATATCTCAAGGAGAAACTCTTTTGGCATTTAAATAATAAGATATAACTTCCAAAAAGGATGGTATCCATGTGTAAAGTTCAAATATTAATTTCCACTGCTCTATGATTTTGAAAACTTCTAAGACAAGATAGCAGAAATATAATTAAAGAACAGTAGCAATATTGATTTTCCAACATAGAATGACACATATAGTAATTCACACAGAATATATCAGTGAAAATAAAAGTAAAATGCTATCAAAACTTTCATTTACCAAGGAGGATTAAAAATTGATAGACGTCTCAAATCTAAGTATCAACACAGAAAATTATTGATGATTTTTAAAAATTTATTCTTGAGGAAATAAATGTATAATCACACCACTTGCAGGGCTAAATTGAAAAGTGAATAAAATAACAAATATTCAACTAAGTGTAGACCTCTAGATAATGAGAAAATTACTCTCATCTTTTCCATTTTTGTCCCAGAGTGAGCCAAAGGGTAAAAGTAATAAGCAAAAATGATCATCTTGGAAAGAATCAATAATGGGGAATGAAAGCCATCTGAGCCAAGCACATAAAAAATCAAAATTAAAAAAACATATATACTATGAATTGGTAAATGTTATTATTAACAGGGCACAGACTTAGCAATTAAAAATATAGGATGCTCAATTAATTTTTAATCTTAGGTAAACATTAAATCATTTTAGGATAAATATACAACATTTGAAGGGAACATTTTTATATTAATAATTATTTGTTTTATATCTGAAATTCAAAAATAACTTAATCATTAATCAACATTTATTTGGTACAAAGAGTATAAATCTGACATTCTCACTTTAGGAGAAGAAAAAAACGTGTGATGAGTCTCACATTGTAAGTTATAGAAACCGTGGAAACCATACAGGATGAGAATAAAAGGACAAAAAGGAACATGATATAGACATTTATTAATATGCACATTTAAGCTTATTGACTAAATGAACATTTGTTGATATTAGCATTGTAAGGGGTTGTTCCAAAGGAAACAGAGAGAAATTATGATTGATTATATAGCTGCTAAAGGATATTTCGGATACCTTAAAGTGACAGTGATGTTATAAGACTGAGGGAAAACATAGACTGTTAACTAGGCTAATGGTTGGGGGAAAATGAGGCAAGCAAACTTCAGGGTCAAAAAGTACTGTATCTCAAGCATGTGATAATTTCTGGCTTCAAAACGAAAGAATAAGGATGATATAGTTTGCTTTGCTGGAGAGGAGAAAGTGTACACTGAATGTGCTTCTACTCTATACTTAAAGGCAGTTTAAGACATAAGCTAGGATGTTATTCTTTATGAACGCTTAACATAAATGTTACCCTACAAAAAACATTGAAAAAATCATTAAAATTAAGTATATGAGAGGGAACCCCCCAAAATCAGAATTATCTTCTGGAGGGCGGACCCATGGCCGGACAGGCTCCCCGGCTAGGTGAGTATTCTAGGAGCCCATCTGTATCAGTGCACCAGCTGGCGTTGTGAGAAGCTGTGTTCAGCTCCCGTGAAATTCTCTCGAAGACTCTTTCATTGAGTTCGTGCATTTCATGATGGGTGATTTACAAGTGCACCTGCCCACACTGTGCTGAGTGTTTAGCAGTTTTTGACTAAAAATGGCCCCTCCCTCCCTATTCACCCAATCTTGCCCCAAGAGACTTCTTTTGTTTTCCTGGGTGAAAAAAAGTTCTTAAAGGGATACATGTTGCCCATGTGGAAGAGGTGAAACAAAAAAACAGCAGAAGCGCTAAAAGGCATCAAAATCGAAGAGTTCAAAAACTGTTTTGAGCCATGGAAAAAATGTTTCAATAGGTGTATTGCATCAAAAGGAGAGTACTTTGAAGGTGACCGACTTCTGAACATGTAAGAATACACAATTTTTTTATAAATAAATTCCAGTTTTGGGGGTCCCCCCTCATACATATTCTTCCTAACATGGCTATGTGTACTGTACATGCAATACTCTAAGCTACACATTATATGAACCTGTTGGCATCCATGTATCCTTAGGAAAGGCATTTGCCTAAGAACAAGCAGCATAAGAAATGGAAATTGAAAAATACTTAGTATGTCCAAGTTCTTTTTGAACTTATAGTAACTGAAAAAGAAAAATATTCTGTGAAATGTAGCATCTCTCCAGCCACCAGCTTAATGAACTCTCCTGCAGTTAATTTCAAATAAAATTTTGTGATATTATTGGCTTTGTGTGAAAGAACTTAAGATACATAATACACATAGAAGCCAAGAAAAGCTCTTTCTTGTATTTCTTGAGCTTTCTTTCAAAGCCCTTTGCTTTGAAACACTAGTTTTACATAAATTATTTCATTTTTTCTCACAGACCCTTTTTTTGTGGTTGCAAGATGGTTTATTCGTGTGGATGGCTGCCCCTGCGTTTCCAATTCCCCACTTCCTTCTGTCCCCCTGTGGAAAAGGTCCAACGTGTCCTCAGCAAGGCCAAGACAAAAAAGCCAGTGTCCAGAGTTTCTGCTTAATGTTGATGCTTAATCCTAAGAGCTCACACAGGCTGCCTCATTGCCCTGGTTGCTGCTGGGCCCACATAGTCACATGCTCCCAGGCGAGAGAGTGCTTGAACAAATGGGCATGTTTGGGTCACTAGTGAGAGAGAGAGAGACAGAGAGAGACAGACAGAGAGAGAGAGAGAGACAGAGAGAGAGAGAGAGAGAGAGCGGGCGCAAGCTTTTTTGTTTCCCTGGGATCATATCAGATATATTAGCTTGGATTTGGGACATATCAGGTGTTTTTTAAAAGACCAATGAACTTTTCAAGATTTCATGGGCTTCTTGATGGGTCCACCCTCTAGTTAGACTAACAGGACTTAAGGTCAAGCACTTCCACCCGTGGCATCCAACAATCCAGTAACAGAAGAAAAAGGAAGAATGCTAATCCCCTTGGTGGAGCAACGCTATGATCCCCTGGGGTGTGAAGCTGTAGCTTCTTGGTGAAGCAAACAGACTTATACTTTCTGGTTTATTAAACTCAATGCACAATTTCCTTTGTTCCCCTTCTTATCAATAATTAGCTAGCTACCTGTGATGACATTCCCCTCCTCCCCACCAGACCTTGAACCTTGTAATCTTACAAGGGTAAATGGATAAAGGTCTCATTTTCTATAGCTGCTTCTTGCTGTTGAAGGGGCATAGTCATACCTATCTCAGGCCCAGAGGGTCCTCCTATCTGCTAAAGGAATACAAGAGCAAAAATGAAAGTCTTCATGCAGGGAAGAGGGATTTTGCAAAGTCCAGCTCACTCTGGCACTGTCTTGGGAGGCGGCATACATGAAATCTAGAGGATGAAGATGTTGGACAAGTTGGCATCCTTGTTGTGTTCACAAGCCACAGGTCCTCTCGCTCCTGCTGGTTAGCCAAATGTTGTCGGTGGAAATCAGTCTCTTCCACAGGATTGCAAGGAAAGTATTCCAAAGACTTTTGCATGGGAGATGGTGGTGTATCAAGATGGTGTATTCATGTGGACAGCGGCCTCTGTCTTTCCATTTCCCATCTCCCTCTATTCCACCATGGAAAAAGTCCACCTGTGTCCTCAGCAAGGCCAAAACGAAATACAGTGTCCAGAGTTTCTGCTTCATGTCAGTGCTTACTCTTTGGAGCCCATGCAGTCTGCCCCAGGCCCTGGTAGCTGCTAGACCAGCATGGTTGTGTGCTTCTCAGTGAGAGAGCCCACAAACAGTGGGGTGAGTGCAAGTCATGAGAGACGGGGTAGGGGGTAAGGGGAAGGGAGGGGGAGAGAGGGGGAAAGAGAGAGAGAGAGCTCTCACGGACCTATTAAATATAA